TTGTATTTAGGTGTTCGGAGAGAACTGACACTGGCTTTCTTTTTGTGAAATATAAGCAATATTGTACTAATGTGCCAATAAACCATCTGAGAAGTAGTTTGCATCTGAAGTACACTGTTATGGCTAAAAACTTGGTCACAAAATATTTGCTCTGTGACATGGACAAATAGGTCAGAGGTTTTCTCAACTCACTAGTTAAGTGTCGAACTATCGAATCTCCGAATAGGGTTTTATTCTTCATATCATAAAAATAATAAATGATATTAAACGCATTTAGAGCATTCTATAATAGCTACAAGACTGCCAGCCAGAGCAGCCAATGCCTTTGGTGAAAACATTGTTTCAATTGCCATATGCGATGTTGGACGAGGAGACGGATGGGGATTTTCATAGTATGCAGACGGATACGGAAACGAGAGCTTAGGGTACCATTGACCACCTCCTGTACCGTTTGCAGGTGTTGAAGCAGGCAGGAAAGTAGCTACGTTGGGAACTTCAGGAAGCGCTTCTACTCTTCTCTCCCTATTACTTCTCCTTCCAATTGTCTACACTCAAATCCGGCGACAAAGAGAGAGAGATTGATGATATTGAAATTGAGGAAATAATAAGTGATCGTTCAGACTGTACAAACAACTACACACTATCAACAAATTGGTCATTCTTCAAATTTGAATAAAGAAGGTGATTGCCATGGTTGAAGACGTTGGCAGTACTGCATTTTTACTCTTTTATTAATATCTCATGTGCATTTATTAATCTGTTTTGAGAAGGTCGATATTGTCACCGTTAAGATGATATGGTTTACTAATTTACCCGATTTATGCCTAATTGATATTTGTCACTATTTAAAATCGGAGGAAGTACTTCGATCCCTAATCGATATCACACCACGTTTAAACAACATATTATTTGAACGAAAATATTTTTCGAGTATAAATTTCTCTGACGTTAATCTGCGACTGTTCGAACACATATTTAATTCAGAAGTACTGGAAAAGATCAGCAAATCAATTCAGTCGTTAACCATATGTGAATCATCCTGAAGTTCTTTTGGTTAAACGTGGATATCTTGAAAAAGAAACATGAAGTTCATGTTCTTCATGAGAAAACATTAAGTTCTTGTGCAATAAAAAACGTGAAATTTCTGTGGACAACCATGGATTGCTTCTTGATAAAACATCAAGTTCTTGTGCAGGAAAAAACGTGAAGTTCCTTTGGAGAATCATGGATTTCTTGACGAAAGAACGTGTTCTGATGGACAAACGTTGGTTTCTTCAGGAAAAAACATCAAATTCTTGTGAACAACCATGAATTCCTTCTTGAGAAAACATGAATTTCTGGTGCTGAAGTTCTTGTAGTTCTTGTTCTTGTGCAATAAAAAACGTCAAATTCATGAAGTTCTTGTTCAGGAAAAAACGTGAAATTCTTTTGGAGAAACATCGGTTCCTTCAGTAAACCTGAAGTTGTTGTGGAGAAAGACGCATTTCTTCTCCAGAAAACATCAACTTCTTATGCAGGAAAAAACGTGAAGTTCTTGTGGAGAAACATGGATTTCTTCAGGAAACCATGAAGTTTTTGTGCACAACCATGGAATTCTTCTTGAGAAAACATCAAGTTCTTGTGCAGAACTGAACTTCTTGTGAAGAACCGCTACTGTAAGGCAAAATCTCTTTAATGTCATGCAAAGGGTTTTCGTAATTTCTCTTCCTTTTTCTACGACTTTTTATCCTGTTGCACTCTTTAATATACGTTTATAACGCGTTACTTACGAAGAATTAACGTGCTCCAACGTATGAAATAAGATATCCCGTTAAAACGTGCTATTTCAACCATTTAATGCCGTACCGGACACAATCTGTTAACGCGTCACAACAGTATAAAATCTGCGCTCCGTCACAACGCGTGGCACTTTCATCGATGAATTGTCTTCAATAGTAGTAATCTCAGAAAGAGTTTTCTCTTCTTTGTTACAATCATAAAAACCCTGGAATCAGTTCAACTGGAGATAGGGTTCAAATGATGGTAAAGACCAGCCGTTCTTGCTGCAGACCGGATCGGACCGACCAGTTGACCGGTCATTCTTATAAAAATTTTGACCGGTAGGCAACCGGTACTGACGTTTGAGTGCGAGAGAAATGTTTAAATCTGTGTGATATGTTAGCAAATAAAATCAGATAGATTAAAGTGTTTGCTAGGATAGGCAGAAATGTCTGCATCACTACGTCTTTTGCATTTCTTCTTTTCTTTTGGAATAAAGAATTTGCTTTATATGTTGTTAGGCGTATCTAGTACGCGGTAATTCATTTTATTTATTATGTTTCATCCTAAATTCCATGTATATAGGTATCCTAATCCTGTAAAGATTCACAGTGTATATTTATGTGTCTGTGTATTACACATGCATTATGATTCAATTTTCGAAAATTGCTCATCATTTGACCACATGTTATTCACATAAGTTTCACGAAGAACAATTAGAGATTCAACATTTTCTGGTGATAAACGACTGCGTGTTTCAGAAACAATAGCACCACCAGCTGAAAAATGCCTTTCCGATTCTGAACTCGATGCTTGGATAACAAGTATTTGTCTTGAAATTATTGATAACATTGGATAATCTTCACGATTTTGTTTCCAATATTTTAATGGATTATTATCGAATTGTTTCATATTAACAGCAGCTTGTAAATAATTGTCTCTCTCGTCTTTAACCATATCCATAAGATTTGGTGGTTTTGGTGATTTGTTTTCTCGAAATTTCTCAAATGGATCTACTGTTTTTTTTCTTTTTATTCGAATCTATAAAAAGAAATTTTTATGAAACGCTTCGATACAAGTTCTTGCTTTATCATCTAACCGTAAGGCATAAGATTAACCAGAATGAATGGGGTACGGCATCATGTTCTGCGCTATAGATTATCTGCAATAAACTATAACTCAAAGGCTTTTAGATCTCTTCTTGGGCAAAATCCCTGTCACATTGTTGATTATAAAACAAGATGTTATTTCCCGTGACCAGATGGAAATGGTATATATAACTCACCTGTTCATCTTCACCTTCATTTTCTGATATAAAATCTTTAACATCAAATGAACTTGCAAGTAACTGTATATCTTTTAAAATTTCTTTCATTTGTAAATCACGATACTTTTTTTCTTCAACAAACAATAAATATTTTAATGATGGGTCTAAAAATGTTGCAACCCAGTGCATTCTTGTTATCGACGGCCAGTATTTAGAATCTAATGTTTTTTGTATTTCAAGCTTTAATGCACGTATAACAGGACGATCATTTACTGGATCTATTTAACATAACTACACATTGAATAATATGCCGGTACTACGTTTTGCAGTGTTGGTTTAAATGAAAATTCTAATATATCAAATATAGCTACAAAATTTTCCATTAATTTCACAATATCATCTAATAAATGTTTATTTATTCTATATAAACGATCATCCTCACGTTTCTTTTCTAATATAAATCGCAGTTTTTCATATGAATGTTGAATAGATTCATGAATTAAATAATACGATCTAAAAACAAATAAATGTTTATTTTCCAACAAGAATTGAAAATTTTAATCGAACCGAAATGAATCTAACCTCCATGGACGAGTTCCTGATATTCCTTTTAAAGTTTTTGGTAAATGGTGTTGAATATTACCACTTTGGACAACAAATGTTCGAAGATCAGACACTGATGTACAAAATAAATGAAAATCAGAATTATTATTTTTTGTTTCATTCCATGCTGTTTCAAGTACAATATTAGTTGCATGAGCTAAGCATGGATAACGCGCTTCATCATATAAGGCTGCTTTAATATTTGATCCACCATCAGTAGTTACCGGAGTATCACCAATAGATAAATTATATGCTTCATAAACTTTCTCTAATTCTTTCCATATATTTTCACCTAAAAAATATGCTACATCAGTGACGACGGATTACGTATTTATTAGACGATATATTATTATTTTCAAAAAGAAAGATGAGTGGGCAGAATGAGACTGAGCGGATAAAGTAAAGTATACCTTCCCTAGTGAAGCTTTTTTTCTCAAGCACCTGAGCAAGCCATACCTCAAAATTTGTCTCCATGCACATGAATTTCTTACTCATGCAAAACACTTGAGGTATGTACTTGACTTTCTTGGCTCATGCGCTTGAGTTGCTTGAAGTATGCGCATGAGAAGAGAAATATCTAAAACAATGTACATACCTCAAGAAAGTCCTGTGCATACCTTAAGAAACTCATGTGCATATCGTAAGAAAGTCATGCATTATCGAATTTCCGCTTTGTAAATATCTCTAGCTTCGCTTTTTAGACTTGATTACACCATGTTTTACTCGGACTTTTCTTCGAGAACATGATGCAATCAGTTTTTTAGTCTTTCTCGACCATCTGGCAATCTCACCATGCCATAATCTTTATCTACAAAGGAAAAAAAGTCATTTTCAATGAAAAGCTCATGCCAGTTCAAAGGGAGTACACAGCAATTTTGACTTTCTGCCATTCACAGTGAATAGCAGAAAGTCGAAACCACAGGTATCTATCGCTTTTCATTAAAAGTAATAAGCATTCTGTCAACTCATCTTTCTTTTTGAAAATAGTAATTGTAACCCATTAAAAGCATATCCTTAAAAGATTGACAAGTTTTGCTTCACCTGTTTTCGATTCATAATCAAAATAGCGACAATGTAGTAAACCATGTTGAAGATTCCAATCTTCATCTATCCAAAATGCAGTAAAATCAAGATAATATCGCTGTAGATAATCATCTCTCCATAAATCAGTTGTACATGCAAGATTTTTTTCTTGAAGCGGCTTTTGAAGCACATTTTTATACATTGCTTTTACCTAAAACATAAATTTATATCAATAGCATAGCACTGCTATGATAGCAGAGACTGAAACGGGACGGTTCAATTCGCGTAACATTACAAAACAAATTGGACATTGCCATCAATGATACTAAGAACCGAACCAAAAGTTTGAATATATCAGTTTCAATGTCCAATTTTTTCGACACTGAAACAAAAAAAATTGGACATTGAAACTAAGAGCCTATATGAACGCATACCGATTTTGTTAGAAGGGTGGGCGTTACCAAAACCGTGTACAGTCATGAAATTCAACGATAAACAGAAGCACTTTTTAACGGAAAAATT